CAGTTAAAAGAAAAACCTAAGAAGCAGTGCCTGTAAGAAAATTTTCTATCATAATTTAAGTTCTTTTAGATTTATAGCATGACTTAAAACCTCTAGGATCGGAGAACTGTCTAGTCAGGAAACAACATTGCACTCTATACCAAAGGAAATATCTAGAGGAAACTGTAACTAACCCAACACCCCCTCCCCAAATCAATTAACTGGTATGATAAGCTGGCATGAACAACAATTGAGAACAAAGTGAATCAACACAAGCTGCAAAAACATATAAAGGTGGCATTTAAATATATTTTCATCTGGAATAGGAAATGACATATTACAAAGGATGAACCAGAATGTCTCCAGACATTCCACTTCAGCTGTTCCTAAGCTTGTTTCCACCATACATTATATGATAGGAATGTGTAGGCATTTCATTGCAATCCAACAATAGAGCCAATCACTCCATACCACACTAACATATATAAGAAGCAACACAGTGGATATCATCCAAACCAGTTCACTAGTAAAACTAAATAAGCAATAAAATGTAGGAATAAACCGGACAAACTAAATCTACCTCGCGGACTAAACATAAGCGCATCAACACGAGAAGAAATTGTCTTGAGAAACAAGACTATATGAAACAAATCTAAAACTCCACCGAAACAGTATCAGAACTTGTAGCATCGAATAGAACATGATCCATCAGCATCTAGTTACCTCTCATTGCATCAACCACCAATTTGTAATGCTCCGCAATAAAATCTAACCGCTTCACCATCAAGGCAGCTTCGTCATCCTCCAGTTTCTTCCACTTCTCCTCCAATTCTTTAGCCTTGTCAGTAGCAATCAAACTCATCTTCTCCTTCAAGTAACTTGTTCCATTCGGGTACATTGTAGACATGCCAGCCATGCTTTCAAATGATGCAGCCAAACGTGGATATTTGGACCGGAAGTCCTGTTCATCACCCTGAACTATATCCTCCTTAGCCACCTCTTTTACAGCAACATGTTTCTCTTCTTCCTTGTGTTTCTGCAAAAGCTGTTGCCCCATCGAAACCAGCAGCAAAGAGGCCGCAAGAAACCTAGAAAGAGAAAGGGAGGAAGAAGCTTGAGATTGCAGAAGAAGCTGTATCAATAAATAGAAAATTTTCATAAAATTACTTACCATATTCTTAGATTACGTATATTTTGAATGTAAATGTCTATTCCATAATTTTTATAGGTCATTAATGAGATTATTAATTATTATATTTCGAACATTGAAGTAAGGATATCATCCGGTCACGCTGGGACAATCTGATTCATAAAAATGTGGTCACACAGTACTCGGGCTAACCGTAGCTAATGTTAAGGGGTGGGAATTGGGCACGGGGAAAGGATGTCCGGCTCAGAACCATACCTTTGTTAGTGTAGTTAACGGGCTAAATGGGCCAGATCGGATTTACAGAGTGGATTTCGTGATCTTCTAATTTCTAATAATAGCATTAACATTTACATTTACATTTAATAGAACCAGTTGTTCAGTTGTTGCCAAATTTTAAAACTGAGTCGCTGCTTAAAAAAATGTATATACAAAATAACATATACAAGATATACATAAATGTACAATAAAATCATTGAAGTATGTGACCATCTCATCTAAACGCTTAAGTTGTTAGACAGAGCACACTTCTGTTATTTAATTATCTTCTCAAAATCATTCCATACCTTTTAAATCAAAATCCTCTTTGCACCTAAATGTCCATATAATCTTATTTCCATTAGCAAATTAACAAAAAAACTTAAATGTGTTGTAACCTTCTTTGATGATTCTATTCTTGTGCAGGATCGGAGTACGGGATATGTGATTGGAAAAGGACATGAATCACAAGGATTGTACCTGTTCTCTATCCCAACACCATATGTTGCTTCTACTTCCGCTATTTCATCTAAATTACTCCATAGTCAATTGGGTCATCCAAGTCTCTTGAAATTGCAAATATGGTCCCCAGTTTATCGAGTTTATCTTTGTTAGAATGTGAGTCATGTCAGTTTGGAAAGCACACTCATGCCTCTTTCCCAAAACGCATTGATAATAGAGCCACCTTTATGTTTGGAATCATTCATTCAGATATATAGGGTCCAAGTTGTGTCAGTTCTTCCTTAGGCTTTTATTTTTTTGTTACTTTTATTGACGATTGTTCTTGGTGCACGTGATTATTTTTAACAAAAAGTAGATCTGAGTTATTGTTTATTTTTCAGAAATTTGATGTTATAATTCACAATCAATTTGGTATTCCATTAAGAAGTTAATAAGTGATAATGTCCGAGAATACTTTTCTACTTCTGTCTCTTCTTTTATGTCATCTCAGGGAATATCGCACTTGTCTTCTCGTGCACATACTCCTCAACAAAATGGAGTTGCTGAGCGAAAGAACAGAAACAGCTCGAACATCGCTCATTCACAACTATGTCCCTTTATGTTTTTGGGTTGATGTTGTTATTAGTGCTTGTTACTTAACCAATCGCATGCCTTCATCTGTTTTGCAATACCAGAGTCATTACTCAGTCTTCTATCAGGACCAAAGTTTGTTTTCCCTTCCTCTACATATGTTTGGTTGCACCTTGTTCATAACCTTACCCCCGGAAAAGATAAACTTCAACACAAGGCCTTCAAATTGTGTCTTTCTTATGTATTCTCGTCTACAAAGAGAATACAAATATTTTGATCTCTCTACCAATAAGTACTTGATCTCTGTAGATGTTAGTTTTTTCGAGACTTCTCCGCATTTTCTCCTAATACAGAAAATAAGAAGGCCATAACAACACTCCAACTTTTCCAACCTAGCTCCACCTCCAACTCTTAAAGACTATTCCCATCGACCTCAACTTCCTTCTGAACTTGCTAATCCAGTTAGTATTTCTAACTCTGATACAGGTGCACAAAGCAATCTTGGTGACTCATTACCCACTCCAACAATGTCTTCTGCTCAGAGAGAGCACACCCTCCAACTCTTAAGGACTATTCCCGACGACCTCATCGACCTCAACCTCCTTCTGAACCTGCTCATCCAATTGGTATTTCTAACTCTAATATAGGTGCACAAAGCAATCTTGGTGACTCATTACCCACTCCAACAATGTCTTCTGCTTAGAGAGAACACACTTTTATTACTAATTATATTCTCAACATGCCCCTCACGTACGGACAGGAGGGCTGTATTTTTCATGGGACACGCACGTGAAAATTCTTTTTGATTTTTTGGGTGACGGTGAGATTCGATCTCAGGACCTATGCCTGCCCTGATATCATATTGAAGTGTGTCACCATCTCATATAAAAGTTTGAGCTGTTAGAGAGAGCACACTTTTATCATTTAATTATATTTAATTATATTCTTAACAAAAATAATTCAGATATCTATTTTGAGTTTACCAGGAAAAGGGTATGACGCAGAGAGAACCAAATAAGGAAGGTTGAACGGTTCCATGCGATAACTACATAGTTGAGGATAGAATAATTATGTAACAAACTATTATAAGATAGTAAATTGCATTTCTAAGATGCTCAACATGTTCATAAGATATAGTTGTCAAAGTATTAATGTTAAAACAGATTTATGATCTTATCAAACTGTACAACCCTTTTTAGACACAAGTAAATTAGAAAATGTCAAAACTTATTACATCTAACAGACTGCAGGACCACAGGTAGCACATATAGAAGATAAAGTTAGATGGCTTCCCCATGTGTTGAGACCTCCAAAATGCACTGGTTTATAGGTTTGACAACACATAACTAAGATTTTAAAGAGGTGAACTAAGTCACACGGAGAAAAAAGTTTTCAATCCCTGAAGTCTTTTGAAATCCATGTAGACTTGGTTAAAAACAGAACACAATCAAACCAAGAGATCTGCACGGGTTAGGCCAAACAGTTGAGATTAAGCTAGTCAGTAGATACCATTAGAGAGATGTATGGGAGATTTAGGAAACCCCTAATTTGTCTTTTAAGACTTAATTATTCAGTATAGAAATGCAATGGACCTGAACAAAACAAATGGATATTGAGAATTCATAAAATAACTGACCTCAATGGTTTCAGAATTGAAATATAGTTGATTGAATGATGATAAATGCAAGTGTGTAGACATGCACACACAATAAAAGCTGTATGTGTGTGCACATTCATATGCTGCAGAATATCTTTACTAGGAAAGAGTTGAGAATAAGCAGTTAAAGGAAACACCAAAGAAGCAGTGCCTGTAAGAAAATTTTCTATCATAATTTAAGTTCTTTTAGATTTATAGCAGGACTTAAAACCTCTAGGATTGGACAACTGTCTAGTCAGGAAAAAACATTGCACTCTATACCAAAGGAAATATCTAGAGGAAACTGTACCTAACCCACCACCCCCTCCCCAAATCAATTAACTGGTATGATTAGCTGGCATGAACAACAATTGAGAACAAAGTGAATCAACGCAAGCTGCAAAAACTGAGAAAGATCGCATTTAAATATATTTTCATCTGGAATAGGAAATGACATATTACAAAGGATGAACCAGAATGTCTCCAGACATTCCACTTCAGCTGTTCCTAAGCTTGCTTCCACCCATACATGGCATTATATGATAGGCATGTGTAGGCATTTCATTGCAACCCTTTAATAGAGCCAATCACTCCATACCACACTAACATATATAAGAAGCAACACACGGATATCATCCAAACCAGTTCACTAGTAAAACTGAATAAGCAATTAAATGTATGAATCAACCTGATAAACTAAATCCACCTCGCAGACTAAACATAACTACATCAACGTGAGGAGAAATTGTCTTGAGAAACAAGACTATATGAAACAAAATCTAAAACTCCACCAAAACAGTATCAGAACTTGTAGCATCAAATAGAACATGATCTATCAGCATCTAGTTACCTCTCATTGCATCAACCACCAATCCGTAATGCTCCGCAATCAAATCTAAGCGCTTCACCATCAAGGCAGCTTCGTCATCCTCCAGTTTCTTCCACTTCTCCTCCAACACTTTAGCCTTGTCAGTAGCAATCAAACTCATCTTCTCCTTCAAAAAACTTTTTCCATTCGGATACATTGTAGACATGCCAGCCATACTTTCAAATGAAGCAGCCAAATGTGGATATTCGGACTGGAAATCCTGTCGATCACCCTTAACTATTTCCACCTTAACCACCTCTGTTACAGCAACCTGTTTCTCTTCTTCCTTATGTTTCAAACATCCTTGGGTTTGCTGACTTTAGCACTTTTCTTAGGTTCAGAACTATTCTTAACCTCAACAGTATTTTTAGCTTTGCCATTAGTGCTATTGCTAACAATCTCCTTAACTCCATTACTAGTTCCAGGGGCACCCCAAATCCTCTTTGAATGCTCAAAAACAACAAAATCCTGACCCTTCATGAAAACTGGTTCCTCATCATCTTTCACATTAGTCAAAAATTTCTTCTTTAACCTCCTTACCTTGTCACGGAGTTGACTCTTTGACAATTTAGCTTTGATTTAATATTTTTTGGCTTTAAGAGATTAAAGTGGGTTACAACCATTTTGCCCAAACCATATTTGACCAAATCCATATTTACCCATATTTTATATGGGTGGATTGTGATCAATCCATTTTAAGTCAATCCATCCAAATCCGATCCAATCCACCCATTTGCCACCCCTACTTGAGAGCATCATAAACTTCTTTTGTTGCCACATTTAAGGCTTTGAGGAGAATTGCTAGATTTTGTGATTTCCTAGGATCAATAATCTGAATGTACTGTGAGGTTTGATTAAAGGATAAGGTAGCTTTCAATCATCTTTCTCTTGGTCTCCTGGTATGTATCCAAAAAAAGAATCCATCATCTCCCCATTAAACCTGTAATAAAACTCAGCAATCAGAATGGTAAAAACAGAAACAGTTAAACTTTCACAGGAGCAAGTGAATAGCAAGATCAGTGCGAAGCTTACTGGAATGAGCCGGCTTTTATTTCATGCCAAACAATAGAGTGGTCAGGGTTAGCAAGAACCTGGTCCCAAAAAAATGGTGTTAATTTTGTTTTAGGAGCATCAGATCCAATGAGTCACTTCCCCTGGTCTCAGAAGAACATCCTCTCTGATGTGCTCGAAGAGGTAAAGACTTTGGAAAATTACCAGGTTTTGGTGGATTAAGAGGGCGAACTTTTGGAGGTGGAGGTGGGCTAGGAGTAGGTGGTTTAGGAGGAAGAGATGGTGGAGGACCAGGAAGTGGAGGTGCAGACTTTCCTGGAGGATGAGGTAATGGTGCATGAGCATTTGCATTCATCTCAGGTTTTGACAGTTCCGCGTCTGCTTCGGAAGATTTATGAGGATCAGCATCATTTACAGCAGATGCACTCTTGACATTTAGAGAAGAACCTGACAATACAAATCATACAAATTACTGAAATGAAATGAAAAAGAATGATACGATGAGATTAATTAACCATCATGATAAATAGCAGCAAATAGACACCTGCATTCAAATTCAGAGGCGGTTTCCCATCCCTTTGCCCATCATTTGGAGTAATTTCTTTCCTTTTATTCTTAACACAGAATATCAACAGAGCTAGAAAGGTATTCCTGCAACGGAACATCCAACCCCTGCAGCAAATAAATAATTTCGATGCTCTTGATTATTTCCCGGAGAATTAGGACCATTTTGTGGTTTATCTGGAGGATTAACAGGCAAAGGTTTAGAAGAACTGGTGTGAGTTCTAACTTTTGGAGGCTTTGCAGGAGGTTTTAGAACTGGAGAAGGAGGCTGCACAGCTGGAGGAGAGCTAGTGGGCACTTACAATAGAAGGAACTGGAGCATAAACTGGTGATACAGTTGCAGGACCCGGAGATGGAGCGAGGGTTGAAACTGCTGCAGGACCTGGAGAGGGAGCGGGAGACAGAACAGTTGCAGGGATTGGAGATGAAGCGAGGGATGGAACTGGAGCACATTTTTTTTGGCAAAATGGTTTTTTCTTTTTCTTAGGTACCTCCTAGGAACGCGTGACAATTGTGAAAAAAGCTCTTCATACTTGCTAAACCAAGTACTGATGCATCATCACTTTCAGAAACATGGATTGGCACATTTTTTTCTTTTTAAGTACTGCAACAAAATCTGCTTCTCTCGGGGAGGCAAATCTTCAATAGTCTTTTGTTTCATTTTCTCAACAAAGCAATATCCTGTTTTAAGTAACTATAACTTCCTGTTGCTGTCTGTTGAATATAATATTCCAGAAATTTTGCAGCTTCAGTACCCTCTTCTAACTATTCCCTTCAATGAATCAATACTAGCTCAGCCTGCATACAGAAGATCTCATCAAGTTCTAATATTCTGACAAGGCAAGAATTAAGTTAGAGATGTGAGTTCTAAATACCAACATAACGTTGTATTTGTGAAATTCACTATGATGCAACATATGCTTCTCCTTCTTGCATTTTTGAAAATTCAAATTTGATGGCCATATTATAGGCACAATGAATAAAAAATTCAACAACTAAACTGGCAACATTGAAACTTGTTAGCCCATGTAATTGAACTGTCCGAATCCAGATACTGAGAACTGGACTACAAAAGTGTGTCAGAATGTTTTTTTTCCTTATTCTAGTTGGAAAAAGATACAGAGCAAGAAATTTTGCTGCATAAAAGTAACAGCTTGGGAATACAGATTTACATGCTAGGCTGGTTTGGGGAAACAGAAAGGTGACTCCAGTTTTCTTGCACAATGATCTTCAAAATGCTCGTGCGAGGAAAAAACCTTTGATGCAATACAAATATGTTTCAAGGAATAGGATGAAAAGGTTACCGATTTCAGGAAAACACTGTATTTAAGTTCCAAGGAGGATTATTAGAGATACTTCCACATTGTCTTTGTTATAGATACTGATTCAATTCTTGTTTCCTATTAACCTCCAAATTTCAGCCATTTTTACAACTAATAGCTTAGTCTATGAACTTTTGGAAATGAAAAACCTCAGGATCTTTGGCTTATACCCCTAAACCCATATTACTTGGTTGTGGTCAAAGACCAGATTGGTTAAATCCTGCTCTTAATTAAAAACACAAATTCATTTGAACAACCCAAAAGTTTACCTCTTATGAAAGTTGTTGAAGTGTGAAACTGTATCATAACCATATCATCTAAAAACATAAGCTTTTTGAAGCACACTTAAATTATTTAATTGTATTCTCCGCAAAAATAATGCTACTTCAATTTCAACGAAAATGCTAATACTCATCAGAAGATAGTAATCAGGTATCAGCAAACAAATACATAGACATGTCAATAACAACCATAGTTAACATATACATTAGGCAACTCATATCTAAACACATTTTATGGATGCACATTGCATCCATCTCCATTTGCTATGATGCCCGATTTTAGAATTATCATTTAAGTTATATTCATAACATTGTAAAAAATTATAAATTTGTTCATTTAAAATAATTTTTAGAATGCAAACTTCAAATTTTAAGCTACATATAATTGAAGTACATTCATTTTCGTCTGAATATTAATCATATGAATAAACTGAACATTTTTATTTAACTTGAGTAAAGCTAAACTTTAGACATATATAATTTAGGCGCCACATACCTAAAGTTATTCAGAAATAGATAAACTTTAGTCATATATGATTGAGATGTCCTCCAAGAAACACCTTTCAAAGCTAAAATTGTTCCATAAGATGGAGCTATGGGCATAATGAAACTATTGAAGTGTGTTATCATCTCATCTAAAAAATTAAGTTGTTAGAGAGAACACACTTTTAATATTTAATTATATTCTTAAAATCATTCCATACCTTTAAAGCTCGACTTTTTTGCACCTGAATGTCCATATAACCTTATTTCAATTAGTAAATTAACAAAAAAAATTGAAATGTGTTGTAACCTTCTTTGATGATTCTGTTCTTGTGCAGGATCGGAGTACGGGACAGGTGATTGGAAAAAGGACATAAATCACAGGGATTATAACTAACTGCTCTCAATCCAAACACCACATGTTGCTTTTACTTTCGTTGTTTCTTATGAATTGCTTCATAGTTAAATTGGTCATCCAAGTCTCATGAAATTGCAAAAGATGGTCCCAGTTTATCTAATTTATCTTTGTTAGTATGTGAGTCGTGTTAGCTTGGTAAGCACACTCGTGCCTCTTTCCCAAAACGCGTCAATAACAGGGCCACCTCAATGTTTGAAATCGTTCATTCAAATATATGGGGTCCAAATCGTGTCAATTCTTCCTTAGGCTTTCATTATTTTGTTACTTTTATCGATGAGTATTCTCGGTTAACGTGGTTAATTTTAATGAAAAGTAGATTTGAGCTTTACTCTATCTTTCCGAAATTCCATGCTGAAATTCGCAATCAATTTGGTATTTCCATTAAGAAGTTATGCCCGAGAATACTTCTCTACTTCTTCTTTTTTTAGAATGGATACTTCTCTACTTCTCTCTCTTCTTTATATCATCCGAGGGCATATTGCACTTGTCTTCTTGTGCACAAACTCCTTGACAAAATAGAGTTGCTAAGCGGAAGAACAAACATTAAATTGAAACAGACCAAACAATGCTTATTTACAATCATGTCCTTTTACGTTTTTGGGGTGATGCCGTTATTACTGCTTGTTATTTAATCAATCACATGCCTTCATCTGTTTAGCAGTACTAGAGTCCTCACTCAAACCTCTAACCGAACCAAAATTTGTGTCCCCTTCCTCCACGTGTGTTTGGTTGCACCTGTTTTGTTCATAACCTTACCCCGAAAAAGATAAACTTCAGCACAAGGCCTTTAAATGTCTTTCTCGGGTATTCTCATCTACAAAAAGGTTATAAATGCTTTGATCCCTCTACCAATAAGTACTTGATCTCTACTGATATTACTTGTTTCAAGACTTCTCCGTATTCTCAACCTTTTTCTGAATTTGTTAATCTAATTGGTATTTTGTAACCCTGATATATAGGTGCCCAAAGCAATCTTGGTGACTCATTACCAGCTCCAACAATGTCTTTTACTTAGAGAGAACACATTTTTATTATTTAATTATATTCTCAACACATCCCCTCACGTATAAACACACTTTTATTGTTTGATTATATTCTTAACATGCCCCCTTTTTATTATTTAATTATATTCTCAACACACACCCCTCACGTATAAACACACTTTTATTATTTAATTATACTCAACATGCCCCCTCACGTCCGGGCAAGCGGGCCTGATTTTTTCATGGGCCAAGCATGTGAAAATTCTTTTAGATTTTTTGGGTGGCAGTAAGATTCGATCTCAAGGCCTCTGCCTGCTCTGATACCATATTGAAGTGTGTAACCATCTCATCTAAAAGATTCAGTTGTAAAAGAAAGCACACTTTTATTATTTAATTATATTCTCAACAGAAACAATTTAGATATATATTCTTAGTCTACCAGGAAAAAGGTATGACAAAGAAAGAGCCAAATAAGGAGGGCTGAAACGAAAGAATCCTAGAACAATCCCATGCAATAAAAACATAGTCCAGGATAGAATGATTGTGTCACAAACTATTATACAGCAGTAAATTGCATTTCTAAGATGCTCAACATGTTCATAAGATAAAAGTTGTAAGTGAACTGATATTAAAACAAATTTATGATTTTATAAAACTGGACGACTCTTTCAAACACAACTACTGTCAGGACTTATTACATCTAACAGAGTGCATATAGCACATATAGAAGATAAAGTTAGATGGCTTCCCCATGTGTTAAGACCTCCAAAATGCACTGGTTTATAGGTTTGACAACACAATAACTAAGATTTTTAAGAGGTGAATTAAGTCGCACGGAGAAAAATGTTTTCAATCCCAGAAGTCTTTTGAAATCCATGTAGACTTGGTTAAAAACAGAACACAACCAAACCAAGAGATCTGCATGAATTCTGCGAAACAGTTGAGATTAAACTAGTCAGTAGATACCATAGAGAGATGTGTGAGAGATTTAAGAAACCTTCAAGTTGTCTTTTAAGACCTAATTATTCAGTTTAGGAATGCAATGGACCTGAACAAAACGAATGGATATTGAGAATTCATATAATAACTGACCTCAATGGTTTGTTGATTGAATGATAATAAATGCAAGTGTGTAGACATGCTCACACAAATAAAAGCTGTATGTGTGTGCGTATTCATGCGCTGCAGAATATCTTCACTAGGAAAGGATAGAGAATCAGCAGTTAAATGAAACACCTAAGAAGCAGTGCCTGTAAGAAAATTTTCTATCATAATTTAAGTTCTTTAGATTTATAGGATTTAAAACCTCTAGGATTGGAGAACTGTCTAGTCAGGAAACAACATTGCACACTATACCAAAGGAAATATTTAGAGGAAACTATAACTAACCCACCACCCCCTCCCCAAATCAATTAACTGGTATGATAAGCTGGCATGAACAACAATTGAGAACAAAGTGAATCAACACAAGCTGCGAAAATTGAGAAAGATATCATTTAAGTATATTTCCTTCTAGAATAGGAAATACATATTACAAAGGATGAACCAGAACATCTCCAGACATTCCACTTCAGCTTTTCCTAGGCTTGCTTCCACCATACATGGCATTATATGATAGGAATGAGTAGGCATTTCATTGCAACCCCTTTAAAGAGCCAATCACTCCATACCACACTAACATATATAAGACGCAACACTGGGGTATCATCCAAACCAGTTCACTAGTAAAACTAAATAAGCAATAAAATGTATTAATCACCCAGAAAAACCAAATCTACCTCGCGGACTAAACATAAGTACATCAACGCGAGAAGGAATTGTCTTGAGAAACAAGAATATATGAAACAAAATCTAAGACTCAACCGAAACAGTATCAAAACTTGTAGCATCCAATAGAAAATGATCCACCAGCATCTAGTTACCTCTCATTGCATCAACCACCAATCCGTAATGCTCCGCAATCAAATCTAAGCGCTTCACCATCAAGGCAGCTTCGTCATCCTCCAGTTTCTTCCACTTCTCCTCCAACACTTTAGCCTTGTCAGTAGCAATCAAACTCATGTTCTCCTTCAAAAAACTAGTACCATTTGGATACATTGTAGACATGCCAGCCATACTTTCAAATGATGCAGCCAATCGTGGATATTCGGACTGGAAATCCTGTTGATCACCCTTAACTATATCCTCCTTAACCACCTCTTTTACAGCTTCCTTATGATTCTCATCATCCTTGGGTTTGCTAACTTTAGCACTTTTCTTAGGTTCAGAACTCATCTTAACCTCAACAGCCTTTTTAGCTTTGTCATTAGTGCTATTGGTAACAATCTCCTTAACTCCATTACTAGTTCCAGGGGCACCCCAAATCCTCTTTGAATGCTGAAAAACTAAAGAATCCTGACCCTTCATGAAAACTGGCTCCTCGCCACCTTTCACATTAGTCAAAAATTTCTTCTTTAACCTCTTTAGCTTTTCACTGAGTTGACTCTTTGAAACTTCAACCTGCAACTTCCCTCTGATGAATTCATGAAACGCAGACATATCGGCTTTAGGTTCCATTCCTTCTACCGCCTTGTATTCAGCAATCCCTTTGAGCAGAGCAAGCTGGTCGTCATCGCTCCAAAGAAAGCGAGGAGTAGCAGCTGATTTTTTCTCCTCTTCTTCTACAATCTTGGGCTTCTTCCTCCCTTTTTCTTTCTGGGCCTCTTGCGGCCTCTTTGCTACTGATTTCGATGGGGCAGCAGCTTTAGCAGGAACACTGGGCTTGACAGTGAAGTCCGATGCAGAAGGGGAAGGCAGGGAATGGCCCGATTCGGCTTCCGATTCGGATCCTGACCCATTCTCGCTGCCGGACTCAGAAGAAAATTGGAGTTTCTGAGTGAGGGATCTCTTTACAACTGGATGAGCTGTCTTGGGTTCTTCATTTTCTTCTCCTTCTTCCTCCCCCGATTGTTGTTCTTCTTCTTCCTGGGATTCCTCCACCAGTTCTTGTTCTTCAGAGGACGATGCAGAAGGAGGCTGGTCTACTAAGCGGGATTTGGTATTGGGGACCATTGTTTCTGCAAGCAAGAAGAGAGAGCTATTCGGCCGTCAGCTGTGTCTATGGTGAGTGTTGAAGCAAAGACAAAAAGATGAAAGCTTTGTGTAGGGCTTTTCGATGTATACAAAAAAGCAATGTCTTAATCAATTGCCGCGCCTTCTACGATTGGATAATTACTTTCCCCATTTAGACATCTACTCCACGACTCACACCAACACCACTACTCACATGTGGAATTGGGATGGTCGGGAGATGATGGAGCAATCACGCTTTATTTGTGCTTTTTAATAGGAAGAAATCTTCTTTCAAAATGTGATTTATCATTTTTAATTAGATCTATGTGAGTTTTTTTTTTAAAATCAAATATTTAAAGCGGTGAAGAACCTGAGACAGTCCCTCCAGTTGAAAAGAGACTCGTTACTCAAAAACCAATTCAAACCCAATAGAAACCCCAAAATCTTCTTTTTAGTCTACAAGCAATAATGGATCAGGATGCAAATCGGAAGCGGAATCAGGTCATTCCATGTCTTCTCCTTCTGCATCACACTGCACAATCAAGCTGAGTGTTCCTGTAAAAGTTGTTGCCCCATCGAAACGAGCAATAAAGAGGCCGCAAGAGACCCAGAAAGAGAAAGGGAGGAAGAAGTTCAAGATTGCAGAAGAAGACGTGTCAATAAATAGAAAATTTTATAAAACTACTTACCATATTCTTAGATTACGTATATTTTGAATATGAATGTCTATTTCATATATTTTTTTGGTCATTTATGTATCAACTGAATGAGATTATTAATACTTAAGGGTCGTTTAATGTGATGGATAAGGAGAGTTAATCTCATGATAAATTTTAAGTACCCTTTATTTCGTTGTTTGGTTGCAAAGCTTGGGATAACTTATTTCAGGATTATGAATTAGTACCAGGATAAGTTATCCCTCACATTGGGTGGTATAGTAATCCCGTGATAACTTATCCCGGAATAAAATAGGTAAATGACAAATATATCCCTTTAAATCCTTTTTATACATTATTTTTCATATTTATGTATATTTACATTATTTCTAATACCATGTATAATAATATTTACTACTCCTTATTTTTATGATAATTATACATGTTTTTCTATTAAAAAATTACACTATATAAATATAATTTTTATTTATGAATTTATTTGACTAATTCTTATGTTTATTTTTATTTTGATTTCTCATAAATTTTCTTCTCTTTTAAACAAAACTTTAAGAGGGAAGTTCTATTTTTTAAAGCTAAAATAAGAAAAAAAGTTATATTTTTAAAATACACATGGTACTTATCACGGGGATACATAAACAAAATATTTAAGTTAAATAAAATAAAATTTTATTATAAAAATGAATAACTAAAGCTCACAAAGAAAATTTAAAAGATTAAATAAAGTGAAGGGTAATTTTGTAAACAAACAACTTGTTCATAAAATTTATCAATATATATTATTTTGAATACAACAAACCAAACACTCAATAAGAAATAATCTGAGGACAACTTATCCCATCATAACTAATCCCAACATAATTTATCTCATTATAACTTATCCATCATAACTCATATTCAAATCAAACGATCCCTTATAGTTCAAACTTTGAAGTAAGAATATCATCCGATTATGCTGGAAAAATCCAACTCATTAAAATATGATCACACAGGACTCGAACTAACCCTAGCTAATGTTAAGGGGTGGGGATGTGGCCCATGGAAAGGATGTCCGGCTTAGCCCCTACTTTGATTAGTGTAATTAACGGGCTAAATGGGCCAAATAGAGTCCATAGAGTGGATTCCATGCTCTTTTAATTTTAATAATAGCATTGACATTTACATTTAATAGATCAATTATTGCCAAATTTTAAAAATTAGTCACTACTAAAAAAAAATACATATGCAAATAACATACACAAGATGTTTATATGTTCACATAATATTTGCTAACATTATTTTCAAAATATTGTAGTGTTTGAATTTTGAAAGTAAAATTATTATTTTTATTCCAACGAGATACATGTTTTGACCTTTTATATGTTGTTTAAGTAATATTTGCTAACATTATTTTTTACTTATTGTATTATTTTGATATATATTGAAAATAAAATTGAACTTTGTATGTTAATATTTTGGGGAAGCTAAGCAAATATCCCATAAAAACAAAATAATTACAAGCATATACCCTTTTACATTCATACCCACTAAATAATTACATTATATACCCCTCAACTAATTTCGCTTAACTGATACTAAATTCGTATCATAAACTATATTGGTATTATTAAGGCTGATCATTTCGCTTAATTGATACTAAATCAATATATATATATATATATATACACACTATATTAGTATCATTAAGGTTTTTTGTTAAGAAATTATTCATTAGTCAATGATACTATAAAGAGTAATTTATGAATAAGAAACCTTAATGATACCACAACAATATACATATACTCTTATTGTATCATTGAGTAATAAGTAATTCTGAACAAGAAACCTTGATGATACCAATATAGTACATATATATATTATGTGCGAAATATTGCAAATCAATTGCCAATGCATTTACTAATTATCTGGGACCAATGCTTTGAAACTCAAAAATAATAGATCTATTTTTTAATTATTCTCCACTTAAATACCAAACTTGTGGCTCCCTCTACCTGTCACTTGAACAAAGCCAAAAGAGCCAGATATAAAGTCAATATATTGCCAAAGCTTGAAATTCCTCACCTTTACATAGTAAACAAAGCAGAAGGACATCAATGAAATACTAGCAAACTTTGAAGTTTCTTCAAATTTACATAGACCTTGTGGCAGAAGGCAATTTTCCAACACAACTTCAACAAAAATAATATATATCACATGAAATCCCACTAAGTACGGTCTAAGGAGGGTAGAGTGTATGCAAACCTTACTACTACCTCGTGGAGGTGCATTCTTTTCCCAACACCAATCAGCAGAAAAATGATTTAACGCTTATACATAAGGAATGTCCTTAGAAATGCTATACGCTCAATCCTAGTACTCACAAAATCATGTTTATGGAAAATTCGAATGAGGAGTAGACAATCACAACCAAAAGAATATGAAAGCTTAGTATATAGTGAAACATACGTAATATAGAAGTAGTAAGGGTTGCAAACCAGACAGTACACAACTTAATTTTGGAAGATATGACACTAAAAATTTGTACAAAGTTGAGTGTCCAATAAACAGATGAATTAGCAATCATGCATCTTGACCAGAAAAAGAAGCTGAAACTAGAAGAATGCAACTATACAAATCTGGTCTAACTTCCTTCATATACTAAAAATAAATTATCAAATATTGAGGAGATTTCAGTACCATTAACATCTCGATATTTAGATAGATTCTTATAGACAAAGGTGACAACAAACATTGAGAGGTAGTTGTAGTACACCATGCAATAGCTACTATGGCACTCAGATGTGAAAGGAACTGATGGAAAGACCAAACTCTTGAACTTTGTAGTTGAGGAAATTATTCGATCTGAAGGATTTAGATTTCAAGAGATCCAAAGCACTACGGTTGTTCAGACAGAAGTTCTTATAGAGGATCTTGCTCAGGAGTTGGCAGATTATCACCGTAACCTTGGTCTTTCGGTGGTTTCAGGTTTAAGCAACGAGCTTGAGAATGTAAGAAAAGCTTCACTTATTGATGGCGAGAACTTAAATGCAGCTTAGTTAGTCACTAGTGAAAACTAAAGAGCTTCTGGACACTGATATGAGAAGTTTGGAGGATGAAAGTAAGTTCCGTGATACGCTCACAAATTTTATCCAACATGAGATTACTTGCATACTACAAGAAGAGAAAAAAATAATGTTTTTGGTTAACAGCACAGGAGATTACTTCCATGTAAATTCAGAGAAGGACGAAGGCTTACGTCTCTTTTCAGTCATTAATTAGTGATTTGTTGGACAAGGCATGTACAGTGGTGAGAAACTCAACAAAATTACCAGTTCAGACTCCTACAAAAGGGGCATTAACATCTCCTTCCAAAGAATCTTGTCCCGACAGAGGCATATCCAGGATTTCGGCTAGATGGGTGCACGATTACAAAAAATATATCTTAAATATAAATTTGATCGATTTGACTTTTAGTTCGTAATATGAACCATTAAGTTTAAAATTATAGGTCAAAAATATATAATACTACTAGTTTTAAATTTTAATATACACATTTGATTTAATTATATAAAAAATTTACAATGCTAAATTTTTAGGAATTCTCAATGTAACACACTTGAAAATTTTGAAAGAATAAAGGAAAAAACAAAAGAAAAATTAGTTGAAACGACAAAAGTGTAACTGATAACCACTTGAAAAAGTGTTACTCAAAGAAACAAGATAGATATAAGATTTAAATTTCTATCTCTCACTTAGAGAAGTGCACCCAATCATCATCGCATTATTATATGATACTTTGAACATGGGTTCACACATCTATATTTAAATATTTTTTAAAAAATATAACACTACTATATATGATCTAGAGAGGGGAGCATGGGTTCACGTGAACCCACGGCACCCCCTCTAGATACGCCTCTGTCAGTCCCGAGTCTTTGCCAGACATACGTAAACAACTATTTCCTGCAATCCAGGAGAGACAGATGCACGATTTTAGTTATAACTCTTCGAGATAGAATCGTGAAGCTTTTCTTACATTCTCAAGCTCGTTGCTTAAACCTGAAACCACCCGAAGACCAAGGTTACAGTGATAATCTGCCGACAGTACTTGAGCAAGTTCCTCTACAAGATCTTCTGTCTGCACACTGCTAGTGCTTTAAGTAACTATAACTTCCTGTTGCTTGTCAATTGGGTCATCCAAGTCTCTTAAAATTGTAAAAGATGGTCCCCAGTTATCTTTGTTAGAATGTGAGTCTTGTCAGCTTGGTAAGCACACTCATGCCTCTTTCCCAAAACGCGTCAATAATAGGGTCACCTCTATGTTTGAAATTGTTCATTGAGACATATGGGGTCCAAGTCGTGTCAGTTCTTCCTTAGGCTTTCATTGTTTTGTGTACTTTTATAGATGACTATTCTCAGTGCACAGGGTAATTTTTAATGAAAAGTATATTTGAGCTATTCTCTATTTTTCAGAAATTTCATGCTGAAATTCCCAAATCAATTTAGTATTTCCATTAAGAAGTTAATCGGTGATAATGTCCAAGAATACTTCTCTACTTCTCTCTCTTCTTTTATGTCATCCTGAGGAATATTGCACTTGTCTTCTTGTGCACATACTCCTCAACAAAATGGAGTTGCTGAATGAATTCCTTGCACTTGTCTTCTTGTGCACATACTCCTCATCCTAGGGAATATCGCACTTGTCTTCTTGTGCACATACTCCTCAACAAAATGGAATTGTTGAATGAAAGAACAGACATCTAATTGAAACAGCTCAAACCAAAAATTTGTTTCCCCTTCCACCACGTGTGTTTGGTTGCACCTGTTTTGTTCATAACCTTACCTCCCTTGGTGACTCGGGCCTGATTTTTTCATGGGCCAAGCACGTGATTTTTTTTTTGGTTTTTTTGATAGCGGTAAGATTCGATCTCAAGACATTTGTCTGCTCTGAAACCATATTGAAGTGTGTGACCATTTCATTTAAAAACTTAAACTGTTAGAAAGAGCACGCTTTTATTATTTAATTATATTTTCAACAGAAACAATTTAGATATCTTTTCTGGATCTACCAGGAAGAGAGAAAGAGCCAAATAAGGAGGGTTGAAACGAAAAGAATCCTAGAACAGTTCCATGCGATAAAAACATAGTTCAGGATAGAATGATTGTCACAGACTATTATGCGGCAGTAAACTACATCTTAAAGATGCTCAACATGTTCATTAGATAAAAGCTGTCAAAGAATTGATATGAAAACAAATTTATGATCTTATAAAACTAGACGATCCTTTTAGACACAAGTAAATTGGAAAACGTCAGAACTTATTACATCTAACAGAGTGCAGGTAGCACAAAAAGAAGATAAAGTTAGATAGCTTCCCCATGTGTTAAGACCTCCAAAATGCACTGGTTTATAGGTTTATCAACACGATAACTAAGATTTTAAAGAGGCGAACTAAGTCGCACAGAGAAAAGTTTTCCATCCCTGAATTCTTTTAAAATCCATGTAGACTTGGTTAAAAACAGAAAAGAATCAAACCAAGAGATCTGCATGAGTTATGCCAAACAGTTGAGATTAAACTAGTCAATAGATACCATAGAGAGATTGTGGGAGATTTAGGAAACCCCTAATTTGTCTTTTAAGACCCAATTATATAGTTTAGGAATGCAATGGACCTGAATAAAACGAATGGATATAATAATTGACCTCAATGGTTTCAGAATTGAAATATAGTTGATTGAATGATGATAAGTGCAAGTGTGTAGGCATGCGCTGCAGAAATCTTCACTAGGAAAGAATAGAGAATAAGCCATTAAAGGAAACACCTAAGAAGCAGGTAAGCAGGTAACAACATTGCATCTATGTCAAAGGAAATATCTTGAGGAAACTGTAACTAACCCACCACCCCCTCACCCCAAATTAAATAACTGGTATGATAAGCTGGCATGAACAACAATTGCAAACTAAGTGAATCAACACAAACTGCAAAAACTGAGAAAGATCACATTTAAATATATTTCCATCTCGAATAGGAAATGACATATTACAAAGGATGAACCAGAACGTCTCCAGACATTCCACTTCAGCTGTTCCTAATAAGCTTGCTACATATAAAAGAAGAAAAACAGCGGAAATCATCCAAACAAGTTCACTAGTAAAATTAAATAAGCAATAAAATGTATGAATCAACCGGATAAACTAAATCTACCTCGCGGACTAAACATAAGCGCATCAACGCAAGAAGAAATTGTCTTGAGAAACAAGACTACATGAAACAAATCTAAAACTCCACTGAAACAGTATCAGAACTTGTAGCATTGAATAGAACATGATCCATCAGCATCTAGTTACCTCTCATTGCATCAACCACCAATTTGTAATGCTCCGCAATCAAATCTAAGCGCTTCACCATCAAGGCAGCTTCGTCGTCCTCCAGTTTCTTCCACTTCTTCTCCAGCACTTTAGCCGTGTCAGTAGCAATCAAACTCATCTTCTCCTTCAAAAAACTTGTTCCATTCGGATACATTGTAGACATGCCAGCCATACTTTCAAATGATGCAGCCAAACGTGGATATTTCGACTGGAAATCCTGTTGATCACCCATAACTATATCCTCCTTAACCACCTCTTTCACAACAGCTTGTTTCTCTTCTTCCTTAAGTTTCTGTAGAAGTGGTTGCCCCCTCGAAACCAGCAGCAAAGAGGCGGCAAGAGACCTAGAAAGAGAAAGGGAGGAAGAATCCTGAGATTGCAGAAGAAGTCGTATCAATAAATAATTTTTTTTATAAAATTACTTACCATATTCTTAGATTACATATATTTTGAATATAAATGTCTATTCCATAATTTTTATTGGTCACTAATGAGATTATTACTTCCTATAGTTCGAAAATTGAAGTAAGGATATCATCCAGTCACGCTGGGACAATCTGATTCATAAAAATGTGGTCACACAGTATCGGGCAAATCGTAGCAAATGTTAAGGGGTGGGAATTGGGCACGGGGAAAGAATGTCCGGCTCAGAACCATACCTTTGTTAATGTAGTTAACAGGCTAAATGGGCCAGATCGGATTTACAGATTGGATTTCGTGTTCTTTTAATTTCTAATAATAGCATTAACATTTACATTTAACAGAACCAGTTGTTGCCAAATTTTAAAACTGAGACGCTACTTAAAAAAAAATAATAAAAAAATATATATACAAATAACATATACAAAATATACATAAATATTCAAATAAAATCATTTTGATATGTCTAAATATGTTTAAATAATATTTGCTAATATTGAAGTGTGTGACCATCTCATCTAAAAGCTTAAGTTGTTAGAGAGAGCACACTTCTATTATTTAATTATATTCTCACAATCATTCTATACCTTTAAAATCAGTCCTCTTAGCACCTAAATGTCGACATAATCTTATTTCCATTAACAAATTAACAAAAAAATTGAAATGTGTTGTAACCTTCTTTGATGATTCTATTCTTGTGCAGGATCGGAGTACAGGACAGGTGATTGGAAAAGGACATGAGTCACAAGGATTGTACCTGCGCTCTATCCCAACACCATATGTTGATTTTACTTCCGCCATAGTCAATTGGGTCATCCAAATCTCTTGAAATTGCAAAAATGGTTCCCACTTTATCAAGTTTATATTTGTTAGAATGTGAGTCGTGTTAGCTTGATAAACTCACTCATGCCTCTTTCCCAAAACGCGTCAATAATAGGGCCACCTCTATGTTTGAACTCATTCATTCAGATATATAAGGTCCAAGTTGAGTCAGTTCTTCCTTAGGCTTTCATTATTTTGTTACTTCTATTGATGACTATTCTTGATGCACGTGGTTATTTTTAATGAAAAGTAGATCTAAGCTATTCTATCTTTCAGAAATTTTATGCTGAAATTCACAATCAATTTCGTATTTCCATTAAGAAGTTCATCAGTGATAATGTCCGAGAATACTTCTTTACTTCTCTCTCTTATTTTATGTCATCTCAAGGCAAATTGCACCTGTCTTCTTGTGCACATACTCCTAAACAAAATGGAGTTGCTGAGCGAAAGAACAGACACCTAATTGAAACAACTCGAACATACTCATTCACAATTATGTCCCTTCATGTTTTTGGGTCGATGTCGTTATTAGTGCTTGTTACTTGATCAATCGCATGCCTTCATCTGTTTTGCAGTACCAGAGTCCTCACTCAATCCTCTATCTGGACCAAAGTTTGTTTGCCCTTTCTCCACATGTGAGTGGTTGCACCTATTTTGTTCATAACCATACCTCCGGAAAAGATAAACTAGCACAAGGCCTTCAAAATGTGTCTGTCTTGGGTATTCTCGTCTACAAAAAAAGATACAAATGCTTTGATCCCTCTACCAATAAGTACTTGATTTCTGCCGTTGTTACTTTTTTCGAGACTTCTTCGTATTTTTCTCCTAATAAAGAAAATAAGAACCATTACAGTCCTTCATATTCCAACTATTCCAATCCAGCTCCAACTCTTAAGGACTATCCCAACGACCTCATCGACCTCAACCTCTTTCTGAACTTGCTAATCCAATTGGTATTTCTAACTCTGATACATGTGCACAAAGCAATCTTGGTGATTCATTACCCACTCCAACAATGTCTTCTGCTTAGAGAGGCACACTTTTATTACTTAATTCAACACACCCCCTCACGTGCAGGCAGCGGGACTTATTTTTTCATGGGACAAGCACGTAAAAATTCTTTTTGATTTTTTGGGTGGCCGTGAGATTCGATCTCAGGACCTACGCCTGCTCTGGTACCATATTGAAATATGTCACCATCTCATCTAAAAGCTTAAGCTGTTAGAGAGAGCACACTTTTATCATTTAATGATATTCTCAACAAAAGTAATTTAGATATCTATTCCAAGTCTACCAGGAATAAGGTATGACAGAGAGAGAGAGCCAAATAAGGAAGGTTGAAACGGTTCCATGCAATAAAAACATAGTTCAGGATAGAATGATTATGTAACAGACTATTATAAGGTAGTAAATTGCATTTCTAAGATGCTCAACATGTTCATAAGATAAAAGTTGTCAAAGAATTGACATTAAAACAGATTTATGATCTTATAAACTGACCCTATTAGACACAAGTAAATTGGAAAATGTCGGAACTAATTACATCTACCAGACTGCAGGTTGCACAAATAGAAGATAAAGTTAGATGGCTTCCTCACGTGTTAAGACCTCCAAAATGCACTGGTTTAGAGGTTTGACAACACAATAACTAAGATTGTTAAGAGGTGAACTAAGTCACACGGAGAAAAAAGATTTCAATCCCTGAAGTCTTTTGAAATCCATGTAGACCTGGTTAAAAACAGAACACAATCAAACCAAGAGATCTGCACGAGTTATACCAAACAGTTGAGATTAAACTAGTCAGTAGATACCATAGAGAGATGTGTGGGAGATTTAGGAAACCCCTAATTTGTCTTTTAAGACCTAATTATTCAGAATAGGAATGAAATGGACCTGAACGAAACGAATCAATATTGAGAATTCATATAATAACTGACCTCAATGGTTTCAGAATTGAAATATAGTTTGTTTGAATGATGATAAATGCAAGTGTGTAGACATGCACACACATAAAAGGTGTATATGTGTGCGCATTCATGCGCTGCAGAATATCTTCACTAGGAAAGAATAGAGAATAAACAGTTAAAGGAATGTATAGTTGGCAAACCACCAAGCAGAGAATCAACATATAAAAACTGAGGCCAAAGAAGAATAACAAAAAAAATTCACCCTTAACTGCAACCATCAAATTATAAGAAACTCGATATTTTACACTTTACCTCTAAGGTTGCGAAGGACTCTTTAATGGATGAAACTTCTTCCTGAAGAGAACACATGAGCAGCAATGCTTCCATCCGTTATGCAAATGGAATTGCAACCATGGACTTAAGAAAACGTTCAGCAGGACCAAGCTGAGAAATGTCTCCAAATCATCTGAGTTTTAGTTCTTCATCCGTTGGTGGTGCCATCTTTAAGAGAGTTCGCATCAGTTCACGAGGCAGCTCATTACCTGATAAGAGACATAAGTAATTAGAGTTAAGCTTCAGAAACCTTGATGAAAATAATACATAATTATAACAGCATGAAATTTTCAAAATTTAAGTTGAAGTACCAATTGACGTCAAACTTTTCACGACTTAATATTAAATAGCAGATAAGATCGATTCTGTGTGGCAAGGTACATGAAAATGAGGGATTTTTTGTCATCGTGCAACGATAATGTTTTCCTTGGGATTGGTTAGAACATCTGTCAAAAAGCAGAGAATCAAATAAGTAGCAGACCAAATGTAAATGATTAAACTAATAGTGTAGTTTTCCGATTAACTACATGCTTTACAAACTTGCCATGTTTTATTTTCCAATCTGAACTAGGACTTTCTTTTCAATGTATCCAGTTGTAACTAAATAAGCATATGATATCATTTAAGAGTACATTTATTCTTACTGGTCTTCTCATCCCTTAAAGGTTTTGTGATTGCTATCTAGGTGATCGTTGGTAAGTTGCAACACACATAATGAAAATTTTAGATGGGACTTTTTCTTGCCCTTAAACAAAAGAGTAAATACAGCATGTGCGGATGCTAAGATGCCGATTTAATTCAAAACCCATGCTAACTTTTCCAGGAGAATGTCATGATAAATGATAATGTATCACATTTACTTAAAATATAAAAGGTTAAAACAGAGAGGTGTTACTAGAAAATTACGAGATCGGGAATATCTAACAATGTTATATGGAAGCAAATGTCGGGTTGCTAAGGTCCAACATATCCACAATCTGAGCGTTGTAGAAATGCGATTGTACAAAATCTAAAAAGATTAAAATAAACACATCTGACAGAGGATAAAATCAGGAAAGGTTCTTAGGATGGTTTAGCATTTCATACATAGACTCCCAAATGTACCATTTACAGGTAAAAAATATGATAAATTCAGGTGCCAAAAGAGAATGAGGTAAGCCTAAAACCATATGCAGGGAAGTTACCCTACATTTTCTAAGAATCAATGTGGAGATGGCTAAGAATAGAACAAAATGAAGCAAATGATTCGTATAGGTGATACCAACTAGTTGGCATTATGCTAAGTTATTGATCTTATATTTACTCAGGTTAGGTGTTTGCCAAGAGCCTATTAGTTTTGTTAAGAGGCATATATATCAGCGTAGGGATCAATGTGAGATGGGCAGTCCTCTTGTATTGGATAATCCAAAAACTGTCCTTTAAGATAAAATATATAGTACTGGAATGAAATGGACCAAATCGAATGGAATTTCAAAGAGGATTCATACAGGCTACAGCCACCATGGTGGGGGGAGATTTACCTTCTTCGAGAGCATCATAAACTTCTTCTCTGTTGTCACATTTGAGGCTTTGAGAAGAATTGCTAGATTTTGTGATTTCTTATGATCAATAATCTGAATACACTGTGATGTTTGGTCAAAGAATGAGGAAGCTTTTCTTCGATCATCTTTCCCTTGGTCTCCTGGTATGTATCCAAACAAAGAATCCATCATCTCCTCATTAAACCTGTAATACAATTCAGCAATCAGAATGGTAAAAACAGAAACAGTTAAACTCTCACAGGAGCAAAGTGAATAGCAGGATAAGTGCGAAGCTTACTGGAACGAGCCGGCTTTTATTTCATGCCAAACCAAAGAGTGGTCAGGGTTAGCAAGAAACTTGTCTCAAAAGAGTGGTTTTAATTTTGTTTTAGGAGCATCAGATTCACCCAATGAGTCACTTCCCCCGGACTCAGAAGAACGTCGTCTCTGATGTGCTCCATATGAAGATTCAGATGGGAAGGTCAAAAAGCTAATTGTATTAAATCTGGCAGCAAGCCTTTAAATACAAAATATACAGCTAACTGGACCTAAAGTGCAGGCCACTAGCTGCACATTATCTACAAATAACTGAAGCTAACAACTACCTATTCCTAAATATGCTCCAACCATCAGGAGACTTAGTCAACCTATAATAACAACTAGTAACAACAGATAAAAATAAAAATAGTTAATACACCCCCTCAAGTTAGGCAAGGTGCAACAATGGCTAACTTGGAACGACACCTAGTAAAGGCTGATTTAGGCAGTGGCTTGGTGAAGGTATCAACAAGTTGATCACAAGCATGAGTATGAGTAACATGAACTCGATGAGCTTGAACCTGGTCACGAACATATGGAAAATCTACAGCAACGTGTTTCATATGGGTATGGAACACTGGACATAGTCATAGTAGATTGTTGATGTCTTCGAGATGGTGACATGTAATTCATGAAGTAAGTTTCGCACCCATGTGATCTCTGCAAGTGCATTGGCGACTGATTCGTACTCTGTCTAAGTAGACGAGCGAGCCACTGCACGTTGCTTTCTTGATGACCAACTAACTGGATTTGGTCCAAAGAAAAGTATGTAACCTGATGTAGAGATTCTGTCATTCGGATCGCCAGCCCAGTCAGCATCAGCATACGTATACAAATTGGAGTTAGAGCTACGAACGAGGTGAAGTCCCGAGCTTGCAATTCCATGGAGATACCGTAGTACTCTTTTAACTGCTTTCCAGGAGTATGCATAAACTGCGACAATTTATTGGCTGCATAAGATATGTCAGGCCGAGTGAGGGACAAGTACTGCAATTTTCTAAGGGTGCGCCTATAGCGCGTAGCATCCGTAGGTGGCCAAGCATCAGCTACTCAAAGTTGTACACTGGAACACATGGGAGTGGAAACACCTTTACAATTGTCCATGTCCAGTTCAGAAAGAACTTCCAGTATGTATTTTTATTGAGAAAGAATGAGGCCATCTGGTACTTGCTTAACATCAACACCCAAGAAGTAGTTTAGATATCCAAGATCCTTCAATGAAAATCTTTTTGCCAAGGAATTGATGACGAATTTAGTCACTTGTGGACGGTCTCCAGAGATTATGATGTCATCAACGTAGACAAACACATAAATGGTTACATCCAGATGCTTCCATACAAATAAAGAGGTGTCAGATTCTGTTCTGACAAAGTGCATTTTCAGCAGATGTTCACGCAGAGAATTATACCAAGCTCGGTGGGCTTGTTTGAGGCCATAGATAGCCTTCTTCAGTTTGCAGACATGAGTTGGAAATTGGGGATTAATAAAGCCTCGGGGTTGAGACATAAAAACTTCTTCATCCAATTTTCCGTGTAGGAAAGCATTATTGACATCAAGTTGAATCTTTTTGACCTTCTCATATGAATCTTCATATGGTATCAGAGCAACATAAGCTCCACTGAGTTAGATCCATCTCATTCTTTTAAAGGTTTCTCATCTATGGCTCCAGTCAGTTCTGCAGTTTCTGCCACTACTCATGTGGTGGAATTTAATCCCATTGCTCAGTTACCTCTCAAGATACAAGTTAACCTCAATTTTTCAACATGGAAAGCACAACTTGTGATGCTACTAAATGGGCATCAACTCATAGGACATCTTGATGGAACCACAACAGCTCCATCCCCTACTAGTACCCAAAATAATCTTACTGTACCAAATCCCAATTATTAGATTTGGTTCTCTCAAGATTAATTGATCCAACAAGCAATGATGGTGTCGGTCGATCCTACTATTGCACCAACTGTTGCCGCAGCACCATCTGCTAACAAAGTGTGGGAATTCCTTCACACAGCTTACGCCAACAAAAGTCATACTTGTATCTTAGCTTGCGAGATCAATTGCAAAATACCAAGCAGACTTCTAAAACCATTGCAGAATACTTGCAGGAGGTTCGTTCTCGCTTTGATACCATATGAAGATTCAGATGAGAAGGTCAAAAAGATAATAGTATTAAATCTGGAAGCAAGCCTTTAATTACAAAATATACAACTAACTGGACCTAAAGTGCAGGCCACTATCTACAACTAACTGAAGCTAACAACTACCAATTCCTAAATATGCTCCAACCATCAGGATACTTAGTCAACCTATAACAACTAGTAAAAACGGATAAATAAAGATAGTTAATACTCCAAGAGGCAAAGGCGTACAAATTACCAGGTTTTGGTGGATTAGGAGGGCGAACTTTTGGAAGTGGAGGTGGGCTCAGAGCAGGTGGTATAGGAGGAGGAGGTGGAGGAGCAGATTTCCTAGAGGAAGCGGTAATGGTGCATGAGCATTTGCACTCATCTCAGGTTTTGACAGTTCCGCATCTTATGAGGATCAGCATCATTTTACAGCAAATGCACTCTTGACATTGACAATACAAATCATAAAAATTACTGAAATGTACTGAAAAAGAATGATACAATAAGATTAATTAGCCATCATGATAAATAACAGCAAATAGACACCTGCATTCAAATTCAGAGACGGTTTCCCATCCCTTTGCCAATCATTTGGAGCTATTTCTTTCCTTTTATTCTTAACCACAGAATATCAACAGAGGTAAAAAAGGCAATTCCTGCAACAGAACATCCAGCCACTGCAGAAATTAAATAATTTTGATGCCCCTGATTATTTCCTGGAGAATTAGGACCATTTTGTGGTTTATCTGGAGGATTAACAGGCAAAGGTTTAGAAGAATTGGTATGAGTTCAAAGTTTTGGAGGCTTTGCAAGAGGTTTTAGAACTGGAGAAGGAGGTTGCACAGCTAGAGGAGAGCTAGTGGGCACTTCAATAGAAGGAACTGGAGCATAAACTAGTGATACAGTTGAAGCACCTGGAGATGGAGCGAGGGTGAGAACTGCTTTAGGACCTGGAGAGGGAGAGGAAGCGGGAGACTGAACAGTTGCGGGGATTGGAGATGGAGCGAGGGGTGGAACTGGAGCAAGTTTTTTGGGCAAAAGTGGTTTCTTTCTTTTTCTCAGACCTGTTATTTCGGCAAAAATGGATTCTTTCTCTTTCTTAGGTACCTCCTAGGAATGCTTGACAATTGTGAAAAAAGCTCTTCGTACTTGCTAAACCAAGTACTGCATGCATCGTCACTTTCAGAAACATGAATTGGAACATTTTTCCTTCTTAAGCACTGCAATAAAATCTGCTTCTCTCGGGGAGGCAAATCTTCAATATCCTTTTGTAAGGTTCTATTTCTCAACAAAGCTATATCCTGTTTTAACCAACTATAACGAAATTGCTAATACTCATTGGAAAATAGTAATCAGGTATCAGCAAACAAATGCATAGACATGCCAATAACAACCATAGTTGACATATAAATTAGGCAACTCATATCTAAACACATTTTATGGATGCACATTGCATTCATCTCCATATGCTATGATGCCCAATTTTAGTATTATCATTTAAGTTATATTCAAAACACGTAAAATATTATAAATTTGTTCATTTAGAATAATTTTAGAATGCAAACTTCAAAGTTGAAGTTACATATTATTGAAGTACATTCATTTTCGTCTGAATTTGAATCATATGAATAAACTGAACATTTTTGCTAAACTTTAGTCATATATAATTTAGGCACCACATACCTAAAGTTATTCAGAAATAGATAAACTTTAGTTATATATTATTGAGATGTCCTCCGAGAAACATCTTTCAGAGCTAAAATTGTTCTATAAGATGGAACTATGGTGCATAATGAAAGTATTGAAGTGTGTGATTATCTCATTTAAAAGCTTAAGTTGTTAGAGAACACACTCTTAATATTTAATTATATTCTCAAAATCATCCCATACCTTTAAAGTCAGTCTTTTTTGCACCTGAATGTCCATATAATCTTATTTCCATTAGCAAATAAACAAAAAAACACTAAATGTGTTGTAACCTTCTTTGATGATTATGTTCTTGTGCAGGATCGGAGTACGGGACAGGTGATTGGAGAAGGACATGAGTCATATGGATTGTAACTGCTCTCTATCCCAACACCGCATGTTGCTTTTACTTCCGTTGTTTCTTCTGTATTGCTCTATAGTCAAATTGGTCATCCAAGTCTCCTAAAATTGCAAAAGATGGTTGGAGTTTATCTAGTTTATCATTGTTAGTATGTGAGTCGTGTCTGCTTGGTAAGCACACTCATGCCTCTTTCCTAAAACGCGTTGATAACAAGGCTACTTCTATGTTTGAAATCGTTCATTCAAATTATGGGGTCCAAATCGTGTTAGTTTTTCCTAAGGCTTTTATTCTTTTGTTACTTTTATTGATGATTATTCCCAGTGCACGTGGTTATTATTAATGAAAAGTAGATTTGAACTATTCTCTATCTATCGGAAATTCAATGCTGAAATTCGCAATCAATTTGGTATTTCCATTAAGAAGTTAATCAATGATAATACCCGAGAATACTTCTCTCACTTCTTTATTGTCATCCCATGGCATATTGCAATTGTCTTCTTGTGCACAAACTCCTCAACAAAATAGAGTTGCTAAGCGAAAGAACAAACATCTAATTGAAACAGCCCGAACAATGCCCATTCACACTCATGTCTTTTTACGTTTTTGGGGTGATGTCATAATAACTGCTTGTTATTTAATCAATCGCATGCCTTCATCTATTTTGGAGTACCCAAGTCCTCACTCAGTCCTCTATCCGGACCAAAATTTGTTTCCCGTTCCTCCACATTTGTTAGGTTGCACCTGTTTCGTTCATAACTTTACCCCCGAAAAAGATAAACAAAGCACAAGGCATTTAAATATGTCTTTCTTAGGTATTCTCGTCTACAAAAAGATACTAAATGCTTCAATCCCTCTACCAGTAAGTACTTGATCTCTGCATATGTTACTTTTTTCGAGACTTCTCCATATTTTTCTCCTGATACGAAAAATGAAAAGGTCATAGAAGTCCTTCCAATTCCAACAAAGCACATTTTATTATTTAATTATATTTTTAACAAGCCCACTCACGTGGGGGCGAGCCTGAATTTTTCATGGGCCAAGCACGTGGAACTTCTTTTTTATTTCCCTGGTGGCGGTGAGTTTCAATCTCAGGGTATGCTCTGATACTGAATTAAAGTGTGTGACCATCTCATCTAAAAGCTTAATTTGTTAGTGAAAGCACTTTTATTATTTAATTATATTCTCAACAGAAACAATTTAGATTAGAAATTTAGATATCTAATCTAAGTCTACCAGGAAAAAGGTATGATAGAGAAAGAGCCAAATCAGAAGGGCTGAAACGAAAGGAATCCTAGAACGGTTCCATGCAATAAAAACATAGTTCAGGATGGAAAGATTGTATAACAAACTATTATACGACAGTAAATTGCATTTCTAAGATGCTCAACATGTTCATAAGATAAAGTTTCAAAGAACTGATATTAAAACAGATTTATGATCTTATAAAATTGGACGACTCTTTTAGACACAAGTAAATTAGAAAATGTCAGAACTTATTAATCTAACAGAGTGCAGGTAGCACATATAGAAGAAAAAGTTAGATGGCTTCCCCATGTGTTAAGACCTCCAAAATGCACTGGTTTGTAGGTTTGACAACAAGATAACTAAGATTTTAGAGGTGCACTAAGTCACACGGAGAAAAATGGTTTCAATCCTTAAGTCCTTTGAAATTCATGTAGACTTGGTTAAAAACAGAACACAATCAAACCAAAAAATCTGCATGAGTTATGCCAAACAGTTGAGATTAAACTAGACAGTAGAAACCATAGAGAGATGTGTGGGAGATTTAGGAAACCCCTAATTTTCTTTTAAGACCTAATCATTCAGTATAGGAATGCAATGGACCTCAACAAAATGAATGGATATTGAGAATTCATATAATAACTGACCTCAATGGTTTCAGTATTGAAATAATAGTTGATTGAGTGATGATAAATGCAAGTGTGTAGACATGCACACACATATAAAAGGTGTATGTGTGTGTGCATTCATGTGCTGCAGAATATCTTCACTAGGAAAGAATAGAGAATCAGCAGTTAAAGGAAACACCTAAGAAGCAGTGCTTGTAAGAAAATTTTCTTATAATAATTTAAGTTCTTTTAGATTTATAGCTGGACTTAAAACCTCTAGGATTGGAGAACTGTCTAGACAGGAAACAACATTGCACAATATACCAAAGGAAATATCTAGAGGAAACTGTAACTAACCCACCCCCTCCCCAAATCAATTAACTGGTATGATAAGCTGGCATGAACAACAATTGAGAACAAAGTGAATCAACACAAGCTGAAAAAACTGAGAATCATCGCATTTAAATATATTTCCATCTGGAATAGAAAATGACTTGTTACAAAGGATGAACCAGAACGTCTCCAGACATTCCACTTCAGCTGTTCCTAAGCTTGCTTCCACTATACATGGCATTATATGATAGGAATGTGTAGGCATTTCATTGCAACCCCTTTAAAGAGCCAATCACTCCATACCACACTAACATATATAAGAAGAGACACAGCGGATATCATCCAAACCAGTTCACTAGTAAAACTAAATAAGCAATAAAATGTATTAATCAACCTGAAAAACTAAATCTACCTCGCGGACTAAACATAAGTACATCAACGCGAGAAGAAATTGTCTTGAGAAACAAGATTATATGAAACAAAATCCAAAACTCCACCAAAACAGTATCAGAACTTGTAGCATCGAATAGAAACATGATCCATCAGCATCTAGTTACCTCGCATTGCATCAACCACCAATCCGTAATGCTCCGCAATCAAATCTAAGCGCTTCACCATCAAGGCAGCTTCATCATCCTCCAGTTTCTTCCACTTCTCCTCCAGCAGTTTAGCCTTGTCAGGAGCAATCAAACTCATCTTCTCCTTCAAAAAACTTGTTCCATTAGGGTACATTGTAAACATGCCAGACATACTTTCAAATGATGCAGCCAAACGTGGATATTCGGACTGGAAATCCTGTGGATCACCCTTAACTATATCCTCCTTAACCACCTCTTTTACAGCAACCTGATTCTCTTCTTCCTTATGTTTCTCATCATCCTTGGGTTTGCTAACTTTAGCACTGCTCTTAGGTTCAGAATTCTTCTTAACCTCAACAGTCTTTTTAGCTTTGCCATTAGTGCTATTGGTAACAATTTCCTTAACTCCATCACTAGTTTCAGGGGCACCCCAAAT